ATCATCAGCATCATCATGATCATCATCATCAGCAGCCTCAGCACCAGCACCAGCATCAGCATCATCATCATCATCATCATCATCATCATCATCATCTTCCTCATCAACATCCTCAGCATCATCATTATCATCATCGTCATCATCATCATCATCATCAGCATCAGCATCAGCATCATCATCATCATCATCATCATCATCATCATCATCATCGTCGTCATCATCATCATCACAACCATCATCATCATCATCAGCAGCATCAGCATCAACATCATCATCATCAGCATCATCATGATCAGCATCAGCATCATCATCAGCAGCAGCATCAGCATCATCATCATCAGCAGCATCATCATCAGCATCATCATCAGCATCATCATCAGCATCATCATCAGCAGCAGCATCATCATCAGCATCATCATCAGCATCATTATCAGCATCATCATCATCGTCCGCCTCCTCCCCATCACCATCATCAACATCAGCATCATCACCATCATCATCATCCGCCTCCTCCTCATCATCATCACCATCATCATCATCATCATCATCATCATCATCATTATCATCATCACACCTCCTCACTCTGGGGAACCTGAAAAATACCGATACGGCTACTCCACAGACGTCTCCCCGGGTGCGTTCTGACCAAAGTTTCTATGCGAATCTATCCGTGACGACGAGGGCCTCTTAGGAGGACCACAATGGCGGAAACCAGGGAGGGAGGCGATATCGGTTCCTCATCTGATCTACCTCCTGGTCGAGGAGGAGGAGGAGGAGGAGAAGAAAGAGGAGCAGCAGGAGGAGGAGGAAGACGAAGACGAAGACGAAGACGAAGACAAAGAAGAAGAAGAAGAAGAAGAGTGCAACAGCTACGTCGCTGATGTTTGCCTACTCCTTGAGGAGGAGGAGGAGGAGGAGGAGGAGGAGGAGGAGGAGGGTCCGTAGCCATTTTGGCTCAAGCCTGTCTGGGCGCGTGGCAGGAGGAGCGCGCCGTGCCTCTCCCTGTAGAACCCTGTCATCTCGGCAGGCACAGGGAGCGGCTCAGTCTCGTTCCCCCTGCGCACGCGCGGATCATGGCTACGGGGGGCGGCCGCACCAGCAGCTGGCTGCCCAGACCACTGCGTGCCGACGAGGCGACTGCCGCAGGGCCGTCTGCGGCTCGGCGCGCGGCCCGAGCGCGTGCCCGTCTGGCCTGCGAGGCGGCCCTCCGCAGGGCCCTCGGCAGCAAGGACCACGCGCCGGGGTCCCGGCGGGACCGCGAGGACGCCTCGCGACCAGCGCTCCAGGCCCTTGCATCTCGCAGAAGGGTGCCAGGCGCCGCGCGTCGGAGGCGCAACGCGGCATGGCACGCCGCAGACGCCCCGGAGGGAGGCTTCACACACGCCACCCAGGCTGCGCTTGCCAATGCGGCGGCGGGCCCCCGCCTCGGACGGCCGAGCCTCCCTGGGGCCAACTACAAGTGCATCGTCGTGGAGGTACCACCCGGCTGCTGCACCGCCTCGCCGCCGACACCTCTGAGTGGAGCCGCCGCCGAGGCCGCCCATCACGGCGCGCGGAGCGTGCCTGGCGTCGCCGACCCGACGGACGCCAACCTCTCCTAGGTGGCGGAGCGGGCGCTCCGCGCGGCCGTCGCGCGCCGGAGCCGGGAATACGAGGACGACGGCTACGACGGCTACAACCACGTCGACCCCGACGGCTACGACGGCTACGACCACGACAGATACGACCACGGGGACCCAGACCAGTCCGAGGATGCGGAAGAGTCGCCCTTCGTGGAGGCGTTCGGGATGACGGAGAACGACTACCACGACAACGGCGGCTACGATTGCACCGACGAGCGCGGCTACGTCGGCAACAGCGACCTCCGCTCCTACGACGGCTGGCGGCCGAGCCTCCGCCACCCGCCCAGCAAGGAGGAGGTGGAGGACGAAATGCGGAGAGCACGATCGGCCGCTCCCCCTCTTCTTCGTGATGCTCCGAGCGGCTCTGCTGCCACGGGCATCGCCACTGAGAAGATAGAGGACGATTCCGACGCGGACCCAGATGACCACGAGAGCTACCACGGCTACGACTACGGCGGCTACGACGGCTACGACAACAAGACCCACCAGGAGCTGCACGGCACGAACAGGGAGCTTGGTGGGGAGAACACGGTCGACGGCCCAGCCGACGACGACTCCGACCAGGAGGGCTCTGACAGCGATTCCGACCACGACGCCACGCCCCAGGACACCATGTCCGACGGCGTGCCCCAGGAGACCCATGACCCTCGAAGACCCCCGCCCCCCCCTCGACGCCCCAAGCCTCACGACACGCGGCTCCCCTCGACGACACCACGACGCCCTTCGACGCCCCTCCCCCGGCGTTCCTCCCCCGACGACCCTGCCCAACGACCTAGAGGCCCCACGAACCCCGACCCCCGAACGACACCCCAATGGCATGCCGCAACCACTGCAGCACTCCAGGCGGCGGGAATCGTTCGCCCCAACGCCGCAGCCTTCGCCTCCATGGCCGCCTCCAAGACCGCCATGGAGCCTTCGCCTCCCATCCCCGCCCGAATCGAGGCGATCCTGACCGGCGTCGAAGTGCGAGCTGACGGCGAGAACGAGGAGAAGATCGTGCAGGGGGCCGCAGGAGGACGCAGAAGGAAGACCAGCAGCCCCAGGACTACTCCCACGAGGAGGACTCCGACGGCTGCCACCACACCAACCCCTACGACGAGGGGCAAGAAGGTGCGCTTCATCTTCGAGGCCGCGCCCGACCCCCCAGAGGACGAGATCGATCCCGATGACCCTGACCCCGCGCCGTCGGGAACCAGCAGCACACCTACGGGAACAAGCAGCACACCCCCGAGAACCAGCAGCACACCGACGGGAACCAGCAGAGCACCGTGCACCAGCAGAGCATCGGGCACCAGCAGGACTTCACGGAGGTAACCAACCTGAACAGCGGCTTCCTCATCGCCATCGCCCCCTCGGGCGGTGAGCGTGCCGCCCTCCTCAGGTGGAGGAGGCTGGCGGCCACCGAGGGGGGGGCTAGTTCGTCGCGTTCGGCTACCACAGGGAGTACTTCATCTGAAGAGGCGGGGGGCGGTGGCCCCTGCCTCTGCGGCTACGCCTGTTCCGCGGGCACAAAGCTGTTATCGAAAGGGTCGAAAGGAGGAGGAGGAGGAGGAGGAGGAGGACGAGGAGGACGAGGAGGACGAGGAGGAGGATGGGGCGGAAGTGACGCGGCCCAGAGCGGGCCGCGCCTCCCGCGGAAGGCCGGCGGAGTGGGAGGGACCCGAGCCGCGGTGCGGGTCCAGCAAGCTGCTGCCCTGGCGGAGCTGGGCGGAGCGGGGGGGGGAGGAGGAGGAGGAGGAGGAGGAGGAGGAGGAGGAGGAGGAGGAGGAGGAGGAGGAGGAGGAGGAGGAGGAGGAGGAGGAGGAGGAGGAGGAGCGGAGGAGGAGGAGGAGGAGGGGGAGGAGGAGGAGCAGGAGGAGGAGGAGGAGGAGGAGGAGGAGGACTCCAGGAGGAGCAGGAGGACGAGGGAGGAGGGAGGAGGAATGAGTGTAGACCACAGTGCTGTAGTCAAAACGAGATGTGAGGTTAAAGATGGAGGCCTCCCAAATGAGCGACGACAAGACACACGTGTCTTGCGCTAGATGGCATAAAATCCTTACGCGGTGGCTGACGCGGGCCACCATCGCGGCACGGCACATTGGAGACGAGGGCGCTCACGCGCGATTTTACGCAGGCAGCTTACGCGCCAATGTCGGCGCGGACCGCCCTGTCTTCTTCTGTCGCTCAAATGAGGCCGGAGGATCGCGCCGAATCGTCGATGCATCGCCAGTGCATCGGCGATGCATCAGCGACGTCAGCGATGCATCGGCGACGTCGGCGATGCATCGGCGACGTCGGCGTGCAGAAAATCGGGCCCCGCATCGAGCGGCATCGCCAATGCATCGGCGATGTGTGACACGATCCTCCGACCCCATCCACTCGGAACCCATCTGGGAGGCCTAGAGTGGAGGACCAGGTGGAGGAGGTATCGCCAGCGCGTCGACCCCACTGGGGGGGAGCCCTCTGCTCACTCGTGGGCGAAAAACGTCCCCGTGCCCGCGGCCCCCCGGGTCGGGACCCTGGGCCGCGACCCTGCGGACACGGGACGTTTCTTTTCGCGGATGCCCCGCGCGGAGCGCATCCTGGGGAACCGAACTCTATACACCGACGCTTGCTCCAGCCCTGCACTGAAATTTGCACAGGAAAGCGGATCCTGGTGCACAGGGGACCCTGGTGCATGCATGTTCCGTTGCTTCCCCGGGAAACGGAGAAGCAAAATACACACCACACCACCCCGACGTCGTCCCCGACTCTCAGAAAAGTCCTGGGATTGAAAAACCGCCCGCCACTGGTGATGTAGAGCGCATGTTTTGATGCGCGGCCATAACGGGCGTTATGGGGGGAAGGGGGGGAGGGGACGGGAGGGGGCATAACGTAGCGCCCCCCCACCCCCCCGACTGTGGTGCCGGACGCACTGCGGCAGTGCCAAGGGTGGGGGAAGCTTTACGTTTTGGGGGGGAGGGGGAGGGGGAGGGCACGTAGGGAGCATAACGCGCGTCGTAGATTTTCCCGTTTCCGACATTCCTGCGACCGCGGAGCCTCCGACCCTAGCCGGGAGGCCCAGAGGAACGGAGCCGAGCGCGCCACTGCCCGCCGGGGCGGCGGGACCTGGGAGGCCAGCGAGGGCGGGCCGGAGCCCTCGCCGTGTGGAGGTGGACGTTCCTCGACCGGTGGTGCTGTGCGCTGCGTGTGCGGCAGGGGGGGCACTGTCTCTGATCTGCTTCACGTTTCGTGCTGTTCTGCGCTCGCGTGGGCCTCGAAGAAGGCAAAACGCCATGAACACAAACTGTTGGCGCTCCGCGCGGATTTCTTGGATCTGGCCTGGACCCCCTCCTTGGCGCGCGGAGCGCGCCAGGGGCGGCGCCGGAGGCGCCGCCGGAGGGGGGCCCAGGGCAGATCCAAGAGATCCGCGCGGAGCGCCAACAGTTTGTGTTTTCTGTTTTCGTTCGAGCAGGCTGCTGCCCCGCGCCAAAAGCGCGGATCGAGGGCCCTCGACTTCTGTTTTCACTCGAGGAGGCTGCTGCCCCGGCGTGGGGCCCGGGAAATGGCGCAGCGAGCCCAGGGGGCTGCGGACTGCGACCTCCGAGGCTGCACCGCGAGGGTGTCGCAGGGAGGGGCCGAAGCGCCGAAGGCGGAGGCGAAGCGTGCAAACCGTGCGCGGCAGCAGGGTGGCAGGGGAAACTCTGCAAGCTCCTCCTCGAGAATCGTCCGTGCACGCACTCGACCGCGCAGCGCAATGCCGCGGAGAGGGTGGTATCATTCCACCGATCCCTGCGGCCCTATTCCCACCGGCGCGGCCGTGGCCCCCGCCGGCCGACTTGCCCGCCTGGGCAGGGACGTATTCCTGTTCCTTCGGGCTTCGCAGGGCAGATCCCCACCTGGGAATGTGGGCTGGTGGGGCTGAGGTGCCATGGCCAGGTGGGGATGGGGATGGGCAAGACGATGCTCCAGGAGGGCGCATGCACCGACCCGGGCCTGGCCAGGATCGGTTCAGGCGCATACCCCGACCCCCTCGAGCCCTCGAAATCACGACAGATGGTTTTTGGCAGGGGTCCTGACGGGGCCCCAGGACCTACAACTGAACGACTCAGGATGAGAAGCCGGTCCTGGGGAATGGGTCGAGACCTCCTGGAGCCAACGTGAAAATAACAACAACAACAACAACAACAACAACAACAACAACAACAACAACAACAACAACAATTACTAGCACGTGGGGACACACCGTTCTCACCAGTGCCAGGGTTTTCATAGGAGGCGGGCAATACCCCCACTTTGTGGGGGGGCCGGTTCAAGCTCTACCAAATTTCCAAACGACTCTTCGCCACCACCCACACCCAGCTTCCCGCCCTATGACGTTCGGACACTTCACTTCGTGGCATGCGGACGACCGTGGCTACTATTCAGGGCCCCGCGGCCGACGACGACGGCGTGCGCGCGCGAAGAAAAAACGAATGTGTCCCGCATGGTATTATTTGACAGGGATGATGGCCCTGGCAGGTGCGCAACCGTTGTCGCAGAAGTTCGAAAAAGTTGCTCGCAAAAGCCCGTTTGACAGAAATGTTTAAAAAGTGTTGGGTTTCCTACGAATCCGCAAGAGCGCGCGGGATGAGATTTTGACAATTTTTTGTTGAAAAACCATTGGTTTTTTGATGTTTTTATGTTAAAATCGCTGCGAACACTAAGGTTTTGGAAGGATTTCGTCTTGCGCGCGCGAATGTCCACTTTACCTTATTTTTTGCAAGGGATTCTTGAAATTTGATTATATTAGAACAAGAAATGTCATTTTATAGTGTTTTTTGCAAGGGAAAACGGATTACAACAAAACAACCGGATCTGATGACATCGTTTTACCTGAGGCTTCCTCACGAAAATGATGAAAATGTAGCTGCGGCCTAGGCGGCGCAGGGGGGGCGTGCACCAGGGGGCCCAACAATAATTATTCTTTAGAATAAATAATGTTCAACAACAACAATCATCTTAAGACTGATCGCTCTTATATGCGCGCGCGTCACTCAATATGTAAATCCCAAACCCTCGATACCCACCCTCTTCGTCTTCGGTCATACCCCTTTGGGGGTATATCTTTTTTACTCGCCACGTGTAGTTGGCGCAGCCCCTAAAACAGGAAGAGCAGGGGGAAGGAGGAAGGGAGAGCGAGGAGGAAAAGAGTGGGGGGAGGGAGGGAGGAGGGATCAAGAAGAATTATTCTTCAGTATTGAGAGTTCAGCAGGGCTCAGTTGTGAGGGAGGTCCCAGGCGGGAGCGCCGCTCCCGGAGTAATGCGCGAGGAAGTCTCAGGCGGGAGCGCCTCCGCCTGAGTAAACTTCGAGGAAGTCCCAGGCGGGGGCGGGGGTCCTGAGTAAATGTGGAGGAAGTATCAGGCGGGAGCCGTTGTTGTTGTAGTCCGGGGGGCCAACAACACAGTTTGATGCTCAGTTGTGAGGGAGGTCCCAGGCGGGAGCGCCGCTCCCGGAGTAATTTGCGAGGAAGTCTCAGGCGGGAGCGCCTCCGCCTGAGTAAACTGCGAGGAAGTCCCAAGCGGGGGCGGGGGTCCGGAGTAATTTGCGAGGAAGTCTCAGGCGGGAGCGCCTCCGCCTGAGTAAACTGCGAGGAAGTCCCAGGCGGGGGCGGGGGTCCTGAGTAAATTTGGAGGAAGTATCAGGCGGGAGCCGTTGTTGTTGTTGTCCGGGGGGCCAACAACGCAGTTTGATGCCCACGACTTTCCCTGATAAAAAACAGGGTGCGAGCCCCGGAAGGGGCACTTCAATTGAAAAAATACAATGTCCGCCGGAGGGGGGGGATCAACAATAATTATTCTTCAATAATTAGAGTTCAACAACAACAACAACAACAACAACAACAACAACAACAACAACAACAACAATCATTTTACCCGAACGCTCAGTGTTCTCACCAGTGCCAGGGTTTTCATGCGACGCGAGACAATACCCCCACTTCGTGGGGGGGCAGTTCAAGCTCTACCAAATATCCAAACGACTCTTCGCGACCACCCAAACCCAGCTTCCCGCCCTATGACGTTGGGACACTTCACTTCGTGGCGTGCGGACGACCGTGGCTACTACACTGGCGTGGGGTACACACCCACAGAACTTGGTCACTTATTCGGGGCGCGCGTGTGCCCAGCATCCTGCAATTGTGACATACAATACATGACACAGACAGACAGAGAGAGAGACAGAGAGCAGACAGAGAGAGAGACAGAGAGAGCGGAGTTGGTCACATTTTTGGGGCAAGTTCCTGAGATCGTCGTGTTTTTTGTTGGTCTTGCGCGCGCGAATGTCCACTTTACTTTTTTTTGCAAGGGAGTATTGAAATTTGATTATGTTAGAACAAGAAAAAGTAGGACCTACGGTGCGATTCGAGGACCTACGGTGCGATTCGTGTGATTGTATGATGCGCGGTGCTAAAATTCTTAAAAACCCAATGGTTTTTGGAGATTTCGGCGTGCGCGCGCGAAGAAAAAACGAATGTGTCCCGCATGGTATTATTTGACAGGGATGATGGCCCTGGCAGGTGCGCAACCGTTGTCGCAGAAGTTCGAAAAAGTTGCTCGCAAAAGCCCGTTTGACAGAAATGTTTAAAAAGTGTTGGGTTTCCTACGAATCCGCAAGAGCGCGCGGGATGAGATTTTGACATTTTTTTGTTGAAAAACCATTGGTTTTTTGATGTTTTTATGTTAAAATCGCTCCGAA